TTATTTACATTTATTATGTAAGCATTAACTAAAAATAACGGAACAGTCATGCAACATATAGGATAGGATGCGAAGAATTTGTCACCGTTGGAATTTCGGTTTACTTTCACTTTCAAGGTTGGGCCATTTGGGCGCCTTTCTTTTTGTGCAGCTGATGGTATGGTGCTGATCTCTGTTTCTATGCCATCAGCCCAGTGTTTGATTTTTTTATTGCAGAGTCTACAGCCATGTGTCAAGCGTGGCGTGTACCTTTCTGTTTTCCTTCAAACAAAGTAGTGCTTATTTATCAACCCTACCAGGGCTCGAACTCAGGAACTATCGGTTCAACGCTCTACCGACTGAGCAATCACGATCATACAGCACATAAACGATGTTTCTACGTTGTCACTTGTTTTTCGAACAGACCTCCGCTGAAAAAAATATAAACAGAAACAAAAATAAAAATGATGCCATTGGCAACAAAAATTATAAAAAGGCATGCTTTTTACAAATCAATAGCTAAGCTTACCTAACTGCATTTCATAACTTTTAAAATTTTTCTAATTTTCCAGCATTGTTCAGACATTGCTTTGTTCTGATTTGAGCAAGAAGGACGTCGGAAGGTGATATGGTGTTGGTGAGACACCGATAAAGGAATCTAAAAGAATCAAAAGTAATAACGATGCACAGCGATCATATAACAGTACTAACAATTTATATATTAGTTATATAACATCCTGTGAAATCCATCGATAGCGAATCTGTCACACAGAAGGCCAACGACCAAGAAAGTCGTGGCTAACAAGATCGTCTGCGCATTTCTGTGCTAGAATGGTAGCCCATTAAGCTAGGCCTGTCACGGATCTAGAAACGGCCACATAACAATAACATATGGTAGCCAGCAGAGCATCTTATGGCATGCATTTTACGGTAATTTTACATAGGCGAAGGATATTCAGACTACAAACTCAGGGTCAGGATTGAAGGCCACTGTCTGAAAAAGCCCTTAAAGAAAAGAAAGCATGACGAAAGCTTTCCATCATGTCATCTACATGAACGAAAAATACAAACAGAAAGTTGCTTTTTGCCCAAACTTGCACATTCGCACTTTCAACTTCTGAACGAATGATGACTGTTATTTTCACTAGGCATGTACAAAGCATAAGCAGAACAATAAAGCTGTTTGGCAAGCTGAGCGACAGACAATAATGATGCACAGAGAGAATATTAAGAAATTAAAACATAAGATTATTCGTACCACTTCAGTGGTCAACACTTGTAACAGCAGAATAGTACGTTACTAAAACTTAGCTTTTACTCACCATCCCTCGAAAGAGAGAATGGAATTTATAATTACCAGTAATAGTAGTGATCAGTATCAGTAGTGATAAAACAAACAGAACTAAAATACAGATTTATTTTTGATCTGTACCTTGGAAGAAGAGCCACGACAACGGTCAGCAAGAGGCTCAGCCAATACGAACCGGTCGACATTACATGCTGGGCTACCCAATATGGTGGATTCGATGAACAACAGACCACAGACAAAAGGTTATACACGTAGGCGTACGCATAAAACACGACGACGCTCACAAAGATGGTGAACAGCAAAGGCCAGGTCTGAAAATGGCAAATAGCCTTCCATCATTTACAACGGCAACAACGCATACCCAAAGCCGCACAATGATCAGCAGGTGAATCTGGCAAACCCAGATCAGCGCTGACGTTA